GGGCGTCTGTTGGACAGGCTGCATCAAATGGCTTTGGGCTAGGGATGGGGCAGGTGGTGTCACCATTCGCTAGAGCAAAAAAGAGAATGTTGAGTGCTAGAAAGATTACTAGTGGGGTATCGGTCTTTGAGGGCATCTTCTGGTATATGTTTGTTTTATTATGTTAAGAGGGATTTTGAAAAGGATGAAATTAGAGTTAGGACTTGTGGGGGTTTATATAGAGCAAAAGGGGTAACTAATATTTTACATCTATGTTTATGAAATTAATGTATGTGCATCATAGGCGAAAGGGTATTATGGAATTGTATTATGTGTGTTAAAAGTTTGTATTTTTACACTAATTTACTCACCGATTGATCATATTTTAATTGAAACATCATAAGTTATTAACAATATGTAGTTTTTTCTATAACAAATCTGTAAATTTGTGAGATGAGTTTATTCGGCATCAAACTTTTAAAGCTTTTAGATTTTAGTTTTTAATACAAAAACCGAATTAAAAAAATCTTTCAAACTATGTTTTTTTTATTTAAACAAAACTCTTTTAATATAAAACCTAGTTTGAGTAATTTTTGGAGTCATTTAGCTAATAGAATAGAAGATGTTACCTTATGTAAAACACTTTTACATAGAGATTTTTTTTTTATTTATGATTACAAATTACTAAGTGTGATGCCTGAAAAGCTTACTAGAATTCTCGTTTGTTATTAATGATTTTTTGGACATTTGATTAACGTGATTAACTGAAAGTTGTCATGATATTACAAAACAAAACCAAAACCATCAAACAACTTTACTTTTAGTCTTATTAATCTAAATACGACGATAAAGAATTACGGGTCCCTTTGAGCACTTTAGCTCAAAGCTGGTCTTTAATGTTGGGGAATTTGTAATTAGAGATTGTTGCAGATAAAATCAGATTTGAATAGTTTACAAATCGTAGTCTATTTTTCCTTGAAAACTAGTATTTGTTACTTATGCATGGGATAAACAATTTTTTTCTCCGGATACAAAACCACATCAAATCTTAGGCACACTAGAGGAAGCAAAAACCATATTTGTATTGCGAGATGTATATCTTTCGTTAGTTTCAAAACTGGAGTATATCCCTACTTATACTCACAAATGGAAAATAATGACAAAATACGGTTTTTGGAAGTTAATACCGGTTATCATGAAGTTTTAACCGTTTTTTAGAATTTTTGCAGAGTCAAGTTGGCAGATTCGGGGACCTCATGCCCACAACTTCGGATACCGTAGGGCGCATTTATAAGTCTTATAAAAATGTGCACTCCGTGCCATGTAGCTTTTATTCGATTATAGCTTTGGTCCTATTTTTTAAGTAGTATAAATTTCACATTTAAATGAGATGGGCTCTTAAGTCACCATTACTAATAATTAATTTGAGATGTGAGGAGACAACACACAGGCAAATTTTGGAAAGATGTGAACTAGGAACAATGGAACATGCAATGGCCATGTTCCATATTTGGTATGCTTTCTGTTTATCCATACATCATGAAATTAGTTCACATAGCATAGATTCGAATTGATACATATGTATATATTAATTAAAATTTAGAAAATTATGCAATAATAAGAGTAAATTACAAAAATCGTCCCTATGGTTTGGTTAAAATTGCACGTTTGGTCCCTAACTTTTTTTTTGCACTCGGATTGTCCTTATGGTTTGATTTTGTTGCGTTTTCGTCCCTATGGTTTGGTCAAAATCGTACCTTTGGTCCCTAACTTTATGTATGTAAGGGGTGAAAAACGCAACAAAATCAAACCATAGGGACGATCCGAGTGCGAGAAAAAAATTAGGGACCAAATGTGCAATTTTGACAAAACCATAGGGACGATTTCAGTAATTTACTCCAATAATAATTTACCATGAAAAGACTTTTGATGGATACTTTTTCAATTGACTTCATTTTATGATAAGCAATTGAGTTTACGTGCCAAACAGGTCAACCGGTTTCTTTATTAAATATTATATCATTTAAAAAGAAATCACTCATTGTAGATGTTTTACGTAAGACTGAGAAATAGCAAATAACAAGGCGATCCATCTGTTTGTACATGAAAACAGGTGGTGATTTTGTTGTGATTGATTCTATGCAAATGAATATTCACAATTTATTGTAAGTTTAAGAGCCAAAAAAATTAACAAACTTTTGGTTTGTTGCTCATTTAGAAATTTGATTTTTATAAGATTGTATTTATACTTGACATGGTAAGAATTGCAACCTAGGCAATATGAAAGGAGACTTCGAGTTACAAGTGCCGATAGATGACACACGATTTGGCCAAATTATGCTTTTGTATTCCCTCGCATGTGAAGAATGCTGAAGATAGTGACATCCGTGGAATACATATGCATTCTATAGACATTGATATTATAAAACAACACTCTTTGTAATCTAATACATACGAGAATACACAAGATTATATATTTGTGGTTAAGCCATAATTTCGATGCTCACCCTCAGTGGCATAGCTAGTAAGGCATAAGGTAGGTCCTAAGACCTACCTTATTATTATTATTATTAACATGTACATATAACAAAAAAAATAAGGAATCACCTTATTATTAGAAAAAGACCTACCTAATTATTGTTGGCAAAAAGAAAACGTATGAACAAAGCTCATATCTTTTATATTTAGAAGCCCACAAAGCGCCCATATCTTTTATATTTAAAAGCCCAATACAACGATCTAATAAATTTTTTTAAAAGGGAAATAGAAAATTAGAAACTTTAATATTATAACTTTTGAAGTGATGTTTAAATATTTTAGGCATACAATTCGATCCGCTAACGTTAGTATTTTTTACTCTTTTAATTTTTTTAATTTTCATTTACCTAATAAACCACGTGGTTTTTTGTTTTAGATTCGTCACTGTTCATCCTTATTATATACCCTTATTATATAAGGGTGGAAGGTATCCGCTTCTCACCCCTCCCAACCTACTACTTGTCAATTGCCACCTTAGTTTTTTTCTTTATCCTCTTACTTCCACCCTTCTCATCCAAAAGAGGAAACTCATTTTCTCATTCATCCCAACTCATTATCTTTTTTTTAAATAAAAGTTACACTAAATTTAAACTAAAAAATATAAAATTAAAATTAAAAATAACATTTAATTAAAAAAACATACTACAATAAAAGGTAAATTAAATCCTAAAACAACAATTAAAATGAAAATACATACTTTAAATACTACAAAAGATAAATAAAAGACAAAACGACAAATTAAATCCAATTAAAATCACTAAATTCTAAAAAAAGAGGTGGATTTAAAAATCTTTCATGTTATGTTATTTGCAATACTCGTTTTTTTTTTTGCGTTTAAAACTTCTTTGTCAGAAACTTCGGGCTCATGTGTATTCATCTTGCGAGTAAAAATAACATTGAGCACGTTAACTTTCGCCCACATATCCTTTTATTTCAGTTAATTTGATGTGCTACATGATCTGAACCCCAAGTTACTACTGGTTAAAACGATCCATAATTCTTCCCAAAAAATATCCAGATCTTTGTGGATTTACGTGGTTCTTTTCGAAAGTATCAATGTAAGCTTTCACCAACACCACTTATAAATGTTTGGACTATTTTTTGCATCTTTCAACATTTTTAGGAGTAGAATCCATTTCAAATAAAATTGAAGAAAATATAAATGTAATGGAATAAGAGGTGTCGTTTTGAAATAGTAAATGATGTATTTATAGTAGGAAATGGAATATATATATATATATATATATATATTATATATATATATTATATATAGAGAGAGAGAGAGAGAGATAGAGAGAGACGAAGAATCATTTGAGAACTCATATATTAATGAGAAACCGAGAACTAAACAAGGGCCGTTAGATCAAAATAATCACTACTACAAAATAACAAATAGAATACTGTTAAAATGAAACATAGAATACGGTTTTACAGCGGTACTCTATAAGGGGGGTTTCCTATTCGAAAATGTAATACAATACGGTTGTAAAACCGTACTCTATAATCATCATATAATACGGTTTTCTAGATAATACAATACGGTTGCAAAACCGTACTCTACGATCATCATAATGTATGGTTTTTTAAATAATACGGTACGGTTGCAAAACCAGTTCTCTATAATCATTATAAAATACGGTTTTAGGGTTTTTTAAAAGTAGCCTTATTCTTTTAACGAAACACATAGAATACTGATTTTTCAATGTAACCGTACTCCTTATAAAATATTGTAAATTACGGTTTCTTATTGCCAAAGGACATTCTAAATAAATATATTTCATAAATTAAATACAATAATTACACTTTTCTATAAAGAAAACATGCCTATAAATAATTTCTACACACAAACATTTCATGAACAAACAGAATATATATAAAAGTCAAAACAAAAGCATGATTAGTCATTAATTTCAAAAATTAACAATATTCATTTCAAACATAATTTGCCCTAAACCCAATTTGTCCATCCTAATCAACGAAAAATTAAATATATAAAAAGACAAACAAATCCATCTGGTAGATGTCAAACTCCATAATTGCAGCCACATACCTGCGACATAAGACAAGAAAAGAAACTAAAAGTTGCAACTAATGGAAAAAAAGAGAACATATAACTGTTATGATAATAAAAAATTGAGTTAATTTGCAGGAAATAGCAACTTAGTTTCATTTATTTGTTTGTTAAGACACCCTACTACCATTTCTTCCTATTGATATACATTGAGACATATATCCCATAATAGCAAGATCCTCCAAATTCAAATTATTTTTTACAATATATATTTTTTTGTAGTTTAATGTCCTAATAAGATAAAGATTTGAAAGTATGATGCTACAGTAGGTTCATTTTTAAAAGTACAATGTCTTGATGAGTTTTTTAGGTACAATGTTGTATAAAACGAAATGCAAGTGCAGTGTTATAATAATCAAGTACATTAAAGTAAAATGCTATAATAAACAATTAGGTAAGAATAACTAACCTTTCAAAGGGGCACTTGACTCAAATACTTACTCTCAAACCTTGAGCTCCACATAACGATGATTTCATTTAACACCCAATCCGGAAATGGTTTTTTATCGTTCCAGTTTTTCTATATATAAATTAAAAAATAAATTATAATTTAATAAAGAATGTTTAACATATTAGACAAATTGCACAAAGATTTAAGATACTTACTTTGTTTAGGAATTCATTTTGTCGAGTCAACACGAACTCAAACATCCATCTCATGATGTAAAAACCGCACTCCCAACCTGATGGTTGTTGGTTGCACTACAAATATGAACAATAAAGGATTAGAGAACTTTTACTTTGAACCTACGGTTTTGATCTTATGACGGAACAGGTTCCGTGTTCCAGGTATCAGTTTTTAATAAAAAAAAATTAACAAGAAGCAGGTTCAAGGTACCCATGAAGTACTTTTACCTCGACAAGTGTCCAATTCATTGGGTGTGTTGTTTCGATATCTTCCTTAAGCCTTGCAACAGCCCTAAAATGAAGATTAGAAAAAAATTAAAAAAGTTATAGAAAGAAATAACTGTCGGAAATACAAAAAGATTTCTTACTCTTCGACATATTTCACGACTATGTAGTTCTCCACGGGCTTCTCATCCGGATTTTTTTAGGAATCCAAGATATACCCTGTGCCTTGGTTAGGGCAGATTACTAGCAGCATCCAATGCAATCTAGTAATGTTAATACATTTTAGTATACACAATAAAGAAATAAAGCCAATAAAAATGAAAGCAGTAAGATTCAAAACCCTTGCCAATAGGGTGCGACAAAAAACTGTTTGTCTTTATGGAAGCGCATTGCATCAACAATGTAACTTACAACACCCTCACCATTTGACTCGCATATTGTTGCTTGAATCTCACTTGGGGAAATAAAAGCACATTTGTTAACTTTATTCCCACCATGTGTTTCAAGCATTGAATGTAACATGCTACAAACCAGAAAATATACATTATAAATGTAAATACTATAAACGAAAATAATTTAAACATTGTTGTTTGTACTTACATTTGAAACCAAGTTATGACACTAATATCAAGCCATTGTTTATTCAACAGACGTAAAATCTCCTCGGGGTAAATGTACGTTTCAATTTTCCGAGCTCCAAGGATCCCGGGTTCGGCTTCAACATAAATCGCATCATCAAGAGCTTCACGATTCATCAAACGTCTATACATTCTTTTCATGACCAAGGGCATTTTTTCTAGTTCGACTTGCTTATTAGAATTATATGGTATCAAACTTTCCTTTGATGGCTTGGTCTTCTTCATAACACCCTTCGAGATTACTGGCACACTCTTGGTTATGCGAGGTTGCTTTGTTTTTGAACGAACATTAAAAAATTGTTTGATTATCACATATTTGTACAATTTATAATATACATATAATAACTAATAAGGTTGGAGAAATTACCGGGTCGATAGCTACCGGTAGAGAGGAACATCTTTTATCTTGTTCAACATTTGGCTTGAACTGTGAGGACTGTTAACAAGTTAGATGTGTGCACAACTATTTATTACTCTAATTCTAAACAAAGTTAATGATAATTCTATGTACCTGAATGATCTTAATTGCATTCCTTGGCCACTGAACTATACCATGAAGCGCCTCACACAACTTACTCGCTTCTTCGGTCGAGACAGGAAGAGGGATACAATCATATTGGTCATAGATCTTGTCTATGGATACCCTCAAATGATTTGCATTTAAAGGAACTGAATGTATTTGTCCATTCCCATATGGAAAGACCATCCCTTTTGCACATTTTTGGTTCATTGCGCCGTATGGTATCACTAACTCGCAAGCAGTAGGAGTCTGCAAACATATAATGTATATGTTAATATATGATCAAATATCTTGTATATAAGAAAAAAAACACATGATTACCTTTATCCCATCCAACTCATCTGATACAGTCGAGACGACACTATTTTTCTTCAATACCGGACTGGTAATGTGTATTCCTTCATTCTTTGAGAGAAGCTGGTGCATATATGTTTTCATCTCTTCCATCTGAGCATTCATCTCTTCTATCTTGGCTTCCATTTTGGCCTCCATCATAGCCTCAGCCTCGATCTTCATCTTCTACTTAATATCTTCCAAGTTATATTTATCATGGCTCTTCCTTTTTTTCTTATCAACCCTAGGCATGGATTGTCTCAAGCCAACATTGTGCCCAACAGCCCTCGTACAACCTGGATGCTCGGGTCTTAACACCTCTGTAAGCACATCAGCTCCAGGTCCAGGAAACCAATCTCCGTGAGATAATTGGGGTATCTTTTTCAATCTGTTAGTCCAAATAAATTTGCAAGGGTAATTAAATCCTAAATAGTTTTAAAATAAATGATAACATTACAAAATGAATACTTAACTTACCAATTCAGATGCCAAGGAGTAGAGATCAGTAGGTAACGAGTATATTCCTGTGGGATCACGTTTTAACCTAGCAAGGATAAAATTCCTTGCACGTTCACTTCTTATATTATGGAACTCCGTTGACTCACCAGACTCCATCTCTTTTTCCCATTGAGGTTTCATACCACGATAACCACGTGGGCCTATCCGAGGCGGATACTTGTTCAACTTTGCAGTCTCTGTAGCTTTGCTGCTTATTTCCTGGAAAGAAGTAGCAGAATTAGAAACACTGCAATATAGTATTATCATATAAAGAGGGGTAAAGTGAGCCAAACCTGGAAGCTCGGTGATGTTTTGAGTTGAACAAAAGCGTTCCATGTAGGCTCGTCTAGGTATAGGATTTCTACCCTTCTTTAGGTATTCGGTAACAAGCCTACTCTTGTAAGCCTTCCATGACTGATTGCAAATTTTTAGTACCTGGTTTTTGTGTCTATCATCTTCTATATTCCAATGTTTCTGTTTTTTTTTACAATAAATATTAGTAATATATATATATATATATATATATATATATATATATATATATATATATATAAATGAATGTATGAATTAAATGAAAGTACAATTAACAGGCTCACACAAATACCTTAATGTTTAACCATAGTTCATCGATTTCAGCCTTAGGAACTTCATCCCAACGCAATGAGGATAGAAATCCTCGTCCTTACCATGACTCCACAATAATTGCTAAACTGAGATTGGGTAGCTGATAGCTCCGATATTTTGGCCTAACTCATCAAATTCAATTTCCAAATCCACTTTGTTTTTCGGGTTTCCCCTTATCAGTGTCACACTTCTTTTTTTCTTTGTGGTTGATCCATTGTATGCCTACAAAAACCAAGTAACATAATTTCAGATATACATATTAAGGAAGTAATTGTTAATGTGTATTATGGTGAAGAAGAAGATGGTTCGGAAGTTGAAATAGGTGTTTGATGATGATTGTTGGCTTCTTCAAATTGAGAAGTCAACGTGCTAACTTCAGTTTAATCTCCCCAAAACAATATATTTGTTGGGAAAGTTTGTGAATCCCCATTTTCTGTTGATTCTTCTTGTGTTTGACGAATTTCAAGCAAATGCTGGACTGAAATTTCAATCTGATAGGAAACAGGGTTTCTACAAATCGGAAAAGTTGAATGTCAATGAAACCATATATCAATGCATTCAACATGAAATCCATGGCTACATTTTGGTAGAATTCGAGTTTTTTCTCCTTCATCGAGCTCTGATACACAAATAGCACAATCTAATCCATCTTTGAAGTCATTCGGGTCGAACCCGGAATACCAATTATCAGTTATATTTTCTGTAACAAAATACTAAATCCCTAACTTGAAAGTGAGGAGTTACAATTTGTTATATGCACAGAAACCAGGAAAGAAAAGAACTTGAAAAAGTTATACAACCACACTAATTTGTGCCTGTATCTTGGGTATTGTTCACGAAATGGGGGAAAATGATGATTAGAAGAATTACCTGTGAAATGTTCTCACAAAACGATTGAACTGCTGTCTGCTTTTGTCACAGTGGTTTGCTCTCCGACGCTCTCACAGAATTTTCTTTGATATCTATGGTCTCCCCGTCAACTGCATTCTCAAGACTTAAACCCTAAAATTGAATAAAGCGGGGAAAAATGCGCACCTAAAATTGCTCCTACCATGATCTAATGGATCATGGGGTACTGGTTTCTCGAAAGTTAACAGCGTTTTCCTCAAAATTTTGATCGTGGAGCAACTGGAACTCACACCCATTTTTCTGTGAGTCTATTGAAAAGAAAATTAGGAATTTTATGAGTACCTTTGGCATATAAACCCTCGGTATACTCGTAAAGGTGTGTTAATGATTATAAAATTAATAAACATCCGTATCAAAATGTATGAGTTTTTTTTTTAATAACCAAGTAATCCTTATATTACATCTAAAAATATTAATATTATAAATGGATAGATACATACATATGTACATGCATACACATAAATAAATATAACATTTATAAAAGCATTTTTTTTTAACGTAACTTTACTAAAGTGAAATAAAAATCATATAATATTTAAACCAAAAATACTAGAATTATTTATAACTTACCAAAATTCTCAAAATAATTTGAATCATGTTCACGTATATTCCATTATTTTCTGTTTTAATGTCTTTTCTCATGACATGTTACTGCAAAAATACAAATTGTAATAATAGTTATTATAAAGTACTAAAAATTTATAATCACTTTTTTTAGTTTCACGACAGATAAATGGTTTATTACCTTTCTTGCTTTCCATTTGCGTTTTTTTGCAATGGGAATCATATGTGTCAATAGAACATGACAATCATGTGACTTCATACTAAGCAATTTCAAGTTTTTCATCAACACCAACTTCTTAATGTTTGCAGAATAGCCGGATGGGACTTTCACCCCATGCAAACATTTACAAAATTTGGTCTTCTCGGCCTTAGACATTGTATAACAAGTTGGTGGTAGATACGTACGCTTTCCATCATTCTTAATAGGTGCAAGTTCAGGCCGAATTCCCATTTCGACCAAGTCTTCTCGAACATTGATACCATCATTCGTTTTCCAAGGAATATTCAATAACAAGCCTATCAAACTTTCAAAAACATTTTTCCCAATATACATCGGATCAAGACAATGTCGGACTTCCAGGTGCTTCCAATATGGCAACTCCCCAAAAAATAGACCTCTTCTTCCAAATATATTTTGGAGGTTTTTTACAACACTTTCCAAACACAATGTTCAAGTCATTAACTCGTGATAATACATCTGGTGGTGGTGGTGGTGGGTATTTTTAAAATAACCGTATTTTTTTGTATGTAAATAAGTCCTGTTGGTTATGAAAACAATATTCTATTTGATTTTGTACGGCTGTTTTTTTGTCGATAGTACTCTATCTCTAATATGATACGGATTCTTATGCAACTGTATTCTATTAAGAGTATTCTATTTGCCAGTTTGTAGTAGTGAAGGTGAAGATGATTTGTGGCATTTTTGTAAATACTTATAAAAAATAAGAGACGGGGGTACGATATTGAAATGAATCAGGGGGTATTTTAGGGATAAAATAATTGTTTTAATTCCCCAAATTAAATCTCTCATTTACATCTCTCTCTGTCTCTCTGTCTCTCTCTCTCTCTCTCTTTCACGTCGTCTTCTTCACCGAATCATCCTTCCTCCCTCGATCGACCACCTCTCTATACTCAGTCACTACTAACAGTCCACCATCATTAATCTCCAAATCATCGACAAAAAATCCACGAACCAAGAGATCGATGTCGGTCGTGTTTATCTTCGATTAGAATTGATCGTCAAAGACCTAAATCCTTCGATGGTGGATCACGTTTATCGACAAAGACCTTAATCCTTCAATGATCGTCGAAGACCTAAATGGTAATGATTATTTATCCTATTTTTGGTCACGAATGATAGTAGTCACTATTCTACCTCGATCTAATCACCGTTTCACTATATTTTCTTCAGTTTTATATTCTATCCGATAGATTAACGGTGTCGCATAACAAAGTTACTCTCAAGAAACATCTTAATCTTGCTATAATCTTCAATTCCGACACTTTTAAGATCCTTCAGGTTAATTTTCAAATTCATGTCAGAGTTTTGTAAGTCTGTTAAGGAATGAAAATAATTGGTTGTATGTGTTGATTATGTTGGTGATATGCATTATGGAACTGGATTGACTCAGTGTAGAGTTGTTTTGAGCTTCAAGTTTGAATGGTGTTGCGATCTTAACACTACTTTGTTTCTAAAGAGGATGATTGATTCAGATAAACCAAATTTTATTGCTTCTACAGTGGATTTCTTTTTCAATCATTTTCTAATGAGGTTTAAATTTGGAAGAAATAAAATTACATCGTTTATCAATGCAAAATCAACTGGTAAACATGTGAGTTTGTGAGCTTATATCTTTGTAAAATATCACATGTTAACTCCATTTTGGCTTCATGAATGATGAATCCATTCCAATATATGATCCTAAACTTTTTTTTGGTTACATGTTGAGAAATGTAGTAGGAGAGCACCATAGATGGCCTCATGAGGATGAATCTTTTATGGACATGCATCAAATGAGGCCATCATCATCATCATCTTTAATGTAACAAGTTACAACAAACTAAAGTCAAACAGGAAACATGAAATAAATATCACATTTGTTTCAGTTTTATTAGTAGGAAATTGATAGCAAATTGAGTTCTTTCCATTATTGCATGTCATCGTTGAATTAGGTTTGCTTAATCTCCGGTTGAAATTGAAGTTTTAGAAGTAAAATCTCTACTGCCTCTTATCATCAGGTTTTATTTGTTTTCTTAATAAAATGTCATTTTGTTTTCTTAATACATGTAGATATTAATAGAAAAAATAACATAACTAAAACAACGTTTAATTTGTCTTCATGTTCATGTAATTTACCCTAATGAATTTCATTTTAACAAGATTTCATTTTCTTACATAGAAATACAATTGAGAATATTTGATGTAGTTTTAAAAGGGCATATAAACCTTCCTTCAAACCCATTAACTACTCATAAAGTTCGTGTATGCCCTTTACTCATTTTTTACCCTTTATGAATCATATATTAGCTTTTTTTATTGTATCTATTACGTGTTTTTATATCCCTTAAAATCCTACAATCCCTTACGCCCTTGTTTCGTTATATCGTGTGTCATCAGGAAGAAGTCATCAGGAAGAACTATGGAGGCATTGTGCCAAAAAAACCCCTACTCATTTCCAAGGTAAGATTGTACACATGGAATTTAGCATATGAACTATTGTGTATTACTCGGTGAAATTTTTTATTGAATGATTATATTGCAGAAAGTTATAATCATAAATGATTATGCAACACATTGTTTAATACATTGTTTTATTGAATGCAATTTGTGAGAATTTTTAGCAGTATTATGGATTCTAAAAGAAAATGAAGATATGGAAAACGAAACAATTTTTTTTTACCAGGTAATGATTGATAATTTTATTCAAATATGATTCAAATGTTATTCTCATCTTAATCAGATGATATTCAAATTATAATTGACATATGGTATTATAAATCATATGAATTATATGTGATTCACATGTAAATCACAAGTGAATCACATATGAATCACATGTAATTCACATATGAATCACATGTAATTCACATTTAAATCACAAGTGAATCACATATGAATTACATGGATTCACATGTAATTCACATATGAATCACATGTAATTCACATGTAATTTACATATGAATCATATGTAAATCACAAGTGAATCACATATGAATTACATGTGATTCACATGTAAATCATGTGTAATTCACATATGAATCACATGTAAATCACAAATGAATCGCATATGAATTACATGTAAATCACAAGTGAATCACATATGAATTACGTCTATATGCACACATGCATTTTGTGTGAGTGTTCATCATTAATTTTTTTTTCTTGTAAATTTTACAATTGAATTTTAAAAGATACAATCACATGTGAATCTTACATGATACATAAATATGTATTTTTGTGAGAGTTCTTGCATTAATCAATTTTTTTCTTGTAGATTTGGAAGAATTTGTGGAAAATATTGAAGAGATGAAGTGATAAATTTAAGAAAATATAGAAATCTTGAAACAAAGACCTAAAACCGCTTTGAATTTTTGTAGCATTTTTTGTTTTTTTTTATATTTTATTTTGTATCGAATAAAATACTTGTACTATTATATTTATAAATTAATAAATAAAAATGGGGTTTCTTTATGATTTACTGACGAATATTATAGTATAAGAAATATGCATATATGTACTTGAAAAAATATGCATATATGCACCTAATGGAATTTCTTAAGCCAAAAAGAATGTTAAAAGAAACGAATACATGCCTTCGATGATGAACTTTAGATTCAATGATGAGTAACACTACGATGCTCATGATTTGATACAATGGAAACCAAAACCTGATGCATCAGTTACATCCTAACCATAGGGAAATAAATAAAATATATATACCTCAAAATCAAAATGATGATCGTCTTCTCCACATGTTTTGATACCTTCTGAACGTTCTCCGACCATTATAAAATCAATAGTTCCTCTTGTTGGTGAATTAATCTGAGTTTAATAAGGCTGCAGGCGTGTTTGGATCAGATCAAAAGACTTGGAGTGTTGTCCGAGGTTTACAAGTCTTCTTTGAGCCATAAGGAATGCTTATATGGAAAGTATTTAGGAATCCTAGTTTAATACTAAGAAGATACGTTTAGTATAAATTAGATAGGATCTTGTATTGTCTTTTATATAAGTTGAAGTTTTGAGATATAATTTTCTTCAATAAAAAGGCTTATGCGAGTTATGCATTATAGCTTCTGTTTTTCTGCTTTGCTTTAATTGGTATCAGAGCAAAGGGATAGAAGGAACCTGTGTTGTGAATTTCTGTTGTGGTGAACACTATCTACGAATTTTTCTGCTTGAGTTTGAAGCAGTTCTGTTCGCGTGGAGAGTTACAAGTGTAACAACTTTGCTGTTTTCGTGAGCCTGTGACAGACAAGGTAACATCAGGAGAAGAGAATCTGATTTCATAGAAGGAGTTCATGTCCAGAACCTTTAGAACTTTGTGGTTCTTCTATTGTATACATGCGGTAGAGAGAGACCCATTGTGGAGACATAAAGCAGTAAACCTGTTCGGAACAGTGAATTGTTGGTTCCTGTTCGTGTGGTTCTGGTCAACCCAGAATCTGAACTCGATCGTGACAACCCGGAAGCTGAAATCGATCGTGACAGGAGCAAGAATAATCGATGGCTACTTGGTGTTCTTGCTGTGAAATCGTCTATGTGCGCCAGGCTTGTGTGGTCCTACTTGTAGAGATTGTATACCTGCGAGAGATCAGTGCTACAGAGTGCAGACGTCTTTTGCCCTAAAGAAAGAAATACAAACGTGTTTTTTTTATTTGACTTTGGGCCTGTTGGGTTTCTAAATACACAAATCGTGTTTTTCAAAAAAAAAATGGATCTCCATTAGTTAAAGATTTAACTCAATTCAATAAAAAATTGTTGACTCCTGTAGAGCAATAAGAAATCAACCGTCTAAGGATATCAACCGCGATGTCGGGAGGAGAATCATCGCAACCACCGTCTAAGGAACACACGTCGTTCACGTTCCAATATCCGACTTTGACATCGACGAACTACACAATTTGGAGGATGCGCATGGAGGTGCTACTCGGGATTCATGGCGTATTAAAATAAAGTTTTGTATACGGAATGCTATTTTGTACTATGTACATACTTTCTAAAGTAGAAACATAAAAGTAATGTTTTAAACCCATTAAAAAGGTAAACCATTATATTTTGATAATTAAATGTAAAAGTACAATGAATAGCTAAATACTTTTTAAAAGTAGAAAACTCATTTTATCATGCTCCAACTCAAATCTCTAATAATATTTATATGAAAATCAATTAAAAAAACAATTTATCTTTTTTCCACCTACACAATCCAACTAAACCAACTTTTCACACTCATTAACAATCCAATCCAATCCAAACTAAATATTATATATTTTTCAATTTATAACCCAATTTTTTCTACTATTTTTAAGATTATATATACACCATAAAAAAATTTAAAAAAAATTTAAAATATATAATTATTGGTCTTTATTTGTAGACAAAATTATTTTATGTATTTTAGTGTGTTTTGTTTATTTTGTTAATAAAAATAAAATTAAACTAATTACAACATAATGTTTAAAGTGCAAAAGAGTTATAACAAATAAATAAATAAAAATGAAATGAAAACTTGAGCGGTTTGATGGAGCAACCTAGTGGTGGGTGTTAAATGATTTTTTTATTTTTTTTTAACTGAAATATGGCAACGAACGGGGATGGTCTAAATGGGCCAATAAATTAAGAAAATATTTAGGGCTTTTATTTTGTCATAGGTCCATCGTGTCCTCTTCTCACAGACTCACACTCAGGAATTAGGATTCACAACCCACACTCCTCAATTACTCAACAGTCAACTCTCTTCATCTCTCTGCGAGACTGCGACAGCGAAGGCTCTCAACATCTGATTCCATCGACCAACGGCGATTATCTGTTCGCAATCCCCATCTCAACTGTATAGGAGGAATTTGAGCCCTTAAACATTCACCGATTCTCTGCTCTCAATCTTCCCTTTCTTCCCTCCGATAGGAGAACAAGAGAGTGACTGGAATAGACAAGTTTTTGACAACACAAACAACTGCTATGCTACAGGAAGGTTAGTTTTCTCTAATTTATGTGTTTCTGAATATCTAGTGCAAATCCTTTGTAGTTCACAATTTTCCATGTGTATAGCTTTTTCTTCTTATGGTATAAAACATGGTTCCTTAAAGTATTGGTATCTATTGGAAAATTTTAACACTATCTATCATTTCAATGATCTGAATTAGAAAACAGACCAGTTTAGACCACTGGGGAAGGTACCTCAATTCTAACTTATAATCCACCCTTAAACATCAGGAAGCTCCTCTGCAAACTGCAAAGCATTCAACAAAAATGATGATTCATATAAATACTTATAATGAAAAATAAAGTAATCAATAAAAATTCATGGAATGGTAAAATCCTTTCCATCCAATGTGTTTAAATCATTATAATTGAATGAAAACAATAAATGACCTTACTTCTAAATGGCAGGGCATATGAAAATTTCACACTTAATATTTCATTCTTCCCTGTTGCACATTCTTCCAATCACACGCATCAGGTAATTGTACTTCTGCTTTATTCCTATTTATCTCAGAATCTTCAACTACAATTGTCTTGAATGCTTGAGGTGTGTTGATGAAGGCCCCACTGTAAAATGTAAATGTTGTCTAGTTTGTCCATTTACATTTATTAAAGTTATGTTAGCAATAGAAAAAAGAATCCTTTGTATTTATTATTTAATGTGTGTTGCTTGCTATTTCTTAGTTCATAAATCAAAGATTGTTAATGTTATGTTAGCAAATTATCCATAAGTATATATAATAGTGCCTTTTGTGGGTGGTATGAAACTGTAATCACTTCAAACGATTATTGGTTACAAATGAATTACGTGGTGGGACAAATAATATGTTTCTATTTGTTTACTAGAAATCTTGTTCCTGTGTAACTCTTGTGTTTAACCAATCACATTTCCCAGATTTACAAGTTGTAGGATTTTGCTAAAAATACGTTTGTAAACAAAGTATTTTGCTAAAAAGGTTAGTTCAAAAAAAATGTTGCTACCAACTATAGTTCCAATCAACAATAACAAAGGGATATGAAAGCCTTACATACATAATACCCAAAGCATATGGAATCAATGCGTATAAATGTATTCAACTTTTGAAGTTTTTTACAATCCATAGTAAACTAAATATGCTTTTCACAAAATGTATTTTACAATTTTGAATATAAGGAGACATCTTACTTCTACAAATGCATCTTCCCATGTGATCACTAAAGAACCGAAGGAAAACTCAATGTGTTTGGACAGCACCTGGAATAGCATTCAGCTTTCCTAGTATTACCTAAAATCTTCATAATCCGTTACAGTTCAGGGCGTTGTAGACTAGGAACACCTCAAGTCACCCATAAAAAATAAAAATAATCGTGTGTATAACAATTAACAAAAAGAAGACAACCAAAAAAGAAAAAACATACTCATGACCTATAAAGATAAAGGAGATTCAAAATTTAAATAGAAAAAAGATTGTAATCGTTTAGATTAGCTAAAAAACACCGAAGCCCGAACAACCTTGAGGCATCCAAGTAGGCCCTATAACCATCATATATTTTCTTTTCTTGATGGGCTAAGGTAGAGGTGCACAAAAAAACCGGTTCATGAACCGGACCGGTGTCCGAACCGAAAACCAGTTCACCCCTGAACCGAACTGATGCCGAACCGAACCGAACCCAACCGTCGGTTTATACCAATTCACATTTCTAAAAGTTGGGACCGGTTTCGAACCAGTTTACTACGAACCGGTGTACCGTGGTATGAGGAATTTGAACATTTGGGAATTGAAATGAGTAAAAAAAAACTTGTAGCAACTCTCTTTTTTAACACTCTGCATTTGGTTTTTGTTTAAATATTTGAGAAGTTGGATTATCTTCAACCCATAAACACCATATTGTTGCACAAAATGGTGAACTTTTAGTGCTAGAAGTGATCAATCTGGGAATTGATTTGGGTTATTATGATTTTAGATTTGATTTTGATTGGTTATAAGTTTGATTCTAAGGTTTGAATTTTTTAAACATAAAGAGGAATGTGTTAGAAAAACAAAAACAAAACCAAAAAATTACCCATGCATATATTATCCTCCTTAGTCCAAAAAAATTAAAAATAAAAATAAAAAATAAAAAAATAATTAAGCCCGCCGGTTTTTTCTGAACCGGTTTATAGTGAACCAGTTTAGAAAAAACCGGACCGATTTATATAGGTTCGGATTATTTTGGTGGTGAACCCATTTAGGGGTGAATCGGTTTTGACTTTGTTTACTAGAACCGAACCGGTTCGAAAAAAAAAAACCGGTTTGTGCACATCTAAGCTAAGGTAACATCAAATCATTAGAGATACAGGGGATTCAGTAAGTATAGAATCATGAATTATTCTCCAAGCTTGAAATTGTTTTATCTAGTTTTCTGCATAAGTGATATCAACGAGAAAAAAGAATTCAGCTTTCACAAGTCAAAACATTTATTGTCCCATCCAAAAAGGTAGAACATGGTGTGCAATGGACTAGAATTGGTGTCGCCTTTACGAATAAGAAACGGATCGTAAAGATCGTGCGAATGATTCCTGACATTTATAAAGGAATGGTATTATGGTCCATTTAGTTGTTTTTTTTTTTTAAGTTTTAATGATTTAAAATTATAAAAATATTATTAAATAATAAAAATTATTAAAAAATTAAAATTAGGTAAATTTAATATTTTAAAACATTAACAAGCTATTTAAAGTTTAGATCGGACAAATATGATATTCAGTAGTTTAATAAGTATATATATGAAATTATGCCGTACCTATGTTATATAATATCTACCAAAAAAGATCATGGTACATGATCTTTTTTTAGAACTCAAATCAAACGCTTAAAAGACCGAAGAAATTTTACCTCTTTCCACCCAAGTGTCTAAACTTAAAGAAGCTCACTTTACAAGATTTCCATGCTCCTGATTTGCATCATTTCCCCTCAAGTTTCTAGTCCCGTCCTTGTGCTTATGAATGATTGTTTTTCCATGAGTCATCAATGTGATTGATTGCATCTCACAATCACTTATCAATCAAGTGCTTGCTTGAATTGAATGCTCCACCTCTAATCATCAGTTTTTATGATTAAAAGAGATGCATGCAGCATGCCCTCCCAGAAGACTCAGTTTCACATATCTTCTTACACTTGTTCTGGACATTTATTGTTGAGTGAGAAAAGGTGTGTTGATTTTGATCATATCAGACTATTAAATGTGACAAAATACGCATTCAGACAAGATTAGTAACTATTAGATATACCAGTCTTCAGACTGTTAGTTAATTAAGGAGTCTACAGAAGTAGTATATTTAGAGGAATTTCTACAAGCTCTATAATTCTCTTATAAAGTTATAAATATTGAAATATAGAAGCAATGATATTCAATGCCATTCTTTTCTAAGAGCGTGTTTGGCACAGGTCTTTTTGGAGCTTCTAATTTTAACCTTTTAACAAAAATGAGTTGTTTGTTAACTTTTAGTTTAAATAAAAAACTTCAAATCTAAAAGTTACTTTATGTATCGTTTAAGAAAAAACTATTGAGCATTTTTTTAATCACTTCTCTTACTTCATGTAATTTTACATATTTTAAAAGTTTCCAACTACTTTTGTCAACCGCTCATATAACATATAACAATTAAAAGCTACAACTTCCAACTACCAGTTAGTTTTGCCAAATACACCTTAATTTATTACGGTATCACAGCTTTAAATTGCTTAATAGATTCTGACAGTTCTTTATTGATTTTTCACAATTCAGTTTTGTTGCATCTGTTACATTTTTGTTATTAAAACTTTTGATTACTTTAAGCCTTACCAATTGATTTCTTCAACATATTGTTGAAGTAATAAAGCAGTTGATATAAGATCACAAACACATTGTTTCGTATGAATCAGACAAGTTATAGACTTTCACTCACAAAATATGCAACGTAAAAAGAAAAGTCGATGATATTACATGTGTTTTTGAATATTTATTTAGTAATATAATAAATAGATGGATTATATAAAACCCAATATATGAACCCAAAAAAAAAAACAAAAAAAAAACAAAAAACAAAAAAAAATAACAAAACTGTATAAGTTTATTTATTTAAGTTTTTTGAATAGTAAAATAATGAACTTTTCTTTACCATTTTCGTTTTAAATTAAAATGTATAATATTGTCTTTTACCTGCAAATTTAGACCAAATAAACTCTTTTATCATTGCTAGATTAGATGTAATACTAAAAAATATTCCAGGTGGGTATTTGGGCATGTGTATTAGTGTATGTACCTTGTTCTCGTCATACAATTACCAAACCACTTTGAAAATATAATGTTACATTTCCCTCATCTTTTCTCTATATTCCATAATCTACTCCAAAATTTATTTATTTTATTCCTTTGATTGAAAATTTCTTATTACCCGTTAATTTTTGTAATTTTTCATTTTTGATTTGGTTTTAATATGAAATGTTGCATTGCTGGTCCCTGAAATTCTCTCTTTATTTTATAATATACCCTAAAATCTATTTCTTTTTATTCGTTGATTGGAATTTCTATATTACCCCCTCAACCTTCATAATTTCTCATTTTCTTGTTTTATTGAAATAAATTACAAATATTTTCGTGCCACTTGCTGGTTTATAACGATTACTACGGTGTAATTTGTTTTGAAATCGAAAAATATTTATGGTATCAATGTTCAATAGAAATGACATATAATTTATTAAATTCATTTTATTTTGGATATCCATAAAACGTCATATTTCAGAATTGTAAATTACGTAAACGTTATTATTTTCAATTTTAGCCCAACTTTTTTCTTTTTACAAACTTAAATTTTGCTTACAAATTTTGCCTATGTTTTAATTCTTTTTAAGAATTTTGTCTTAAAAAATTTCAACTTTGTTTTTATATGTTTCTAATAACTTGGTTTTTTAATATTACTTTATTTTAAATTTTTTAAAATCTTATTTTACAACTTAGTTTTTAAAAAATCCATTTCTATAAAAAAATTACATATTTGTATATGTATACATCTTTTTGAAGAGCTTTTCATTTTTAAATTTTTTTTATTTGTTTTCTCATAGCTTCCTATATATTCGCTAGATTGTAATTTTCAAACGAATGTAAGGTCTTTAGTATGAACACATTATCTAATTGAAACACTTTGTTTGATGGAAATGCTAGAAAACTAACTAAAAAGGTGTATATAGAGACATACAGATTTTGCTTATTTTTAGTCATCTTACATTTATTTGACAAGTTAAAATGCAAGACATAACAATGAACTTTCATTTATTTTTTTACTGTAACATCCTACTTTTAATTTTTAACTGATCCAATAGGTGTGGTTGTTGGAAGAGATCTGTTAGGGAAGAAAAATAGTATAATATTGTAACACACACAACCCCTGTGAGAGCTCTTAGTAAGTAGTAACACATTAGCCAAGCCTAAATTTCATAAGCTTCATGAAGTTGCCAAGGTGATTAGCTTTATCTTTTATTTCGTTATTTGGTCATTGACAGATCCCACAAAACTGTATGTATTTATAGATAACAGAGATAAAATTGTTTATGAGTTTTAAGATATGAAGGACTTGAATCCTTAAGTATTTTCGGTGGCTCATTTTGATTTTAGAACAAATTTTCCAGCTTGTGGTTTTAGTTTGATTTGATTTACTGACAGTTCACACACACACACACACACAAAAAAAAAAAAAGTTGAAGGGAGTGAGTGTTCATTGAGGTATTTTTAGAAAATCCAACACGTCAACCATTTTTTTAAAAAGTAAGCAAACCGGTGGTGATTGTGGAGACTGTGGAGGGCGATAGAAGGAGGGTGGTGGAAGCCGACACAAGGAGGGTGGGGTGGGTCTGGAAGTGGGGCCCTTGTAATTTTAATATTAATATATATGGTAAATAGGTAAAAGTAAATAAAATATATTAAAAATGATATAAAAGTCATTTTGAAACCACATAAGAAATTGAAAACACAAAGACTATCCATAAAAAAAAATAAAAAACTTAGGGACGATATGTTCTAAATTGAGAAATCTGTGGATCTTTAACGCTCAACCCGTCATTTCTTTAAAATTTTCCTTTTTAGCTTTTAGAGAGCCAACTGTGGGCAACGCGGAAGGCGCGTTATCTTACGTGGCAAGTGTCTTTAACGGCGTCATAACGGGGAACACCGCCCCAGGTGCCCGTTAAAGCGTGTTACGCCATTAGGCGTTATCGTGGTAACGAGTCGTAACGCCAAAAAATGTGACCGTTGTGCAATTTGT